ACTCTAATGTTTCCCATTCAAACGACAAGGAATTGTACTAAATTGCCAGGGAGTACATGTTTAGCTCCTTCAGCTTTTCTTCAAAGTAGTGCCCCTACCTTCTTGATTTCTTTTGTGTATATTTCTAAGAGTGCCATGCATAGATAAAGTGAACCACCTAAGCAGAGTCATACAACACATCTTGATTTGCTAATTAACTTGTCACCTAATTTGACAAAGTACTTTATAAAGTAATTCTGGATTCTTTAAATCATACCTACAAATACTATACATGGTAATATTTTCCCAATGGCAACATTACAGACAGCAGCGGAACAGTGCCTCTGCCTGGTGGGGCTGTGCCCAGTTTCTCCGGCCCTGTTCCATGCTCCACGTACCACTAGAACACAGGCTTCTTGCTGTATCCTGGTGTCAGCAGGTTCAGAGAATTTTCTAGTGGAAAACAGATAAAGCAACTCATAACTTATGTAAGCAGCTAAGAAAGTGGGTCTTATTCTCTGTTTATCCATTCTCATTACAAAATGGTGTAAATATTTACATCATGTATCTGTGGCACACACGGAACCAACTGGGGACTTTTTTTTTGGTACCAGGGATCGAAATCAGGACATCTTGTGCTTTCGAGGCAGGCGGAGGAACCGCTGAGCTAAATCCCCGGCCCCAACTGGGGACTCTTTAAGAGAATTGAATCAGATGAACGATCTGATCAGAAACAAATGGTGAATAATCTGTAATTCTGGTTATTGAGTTTCACTACTCACAAGGCAAGTACTACTGAGGGCTAGGTATAAACTTACAACCTCATTTATCCTAAAATCTAGCAACTGCACTTCTGGGAATGTATCCCACAGATATAACTGCAAACAAGTGAAATATGTAAGGGTATCGCTGTGTATTATTTTAAAATCAAAGACTATAAACAAAAACAAACCAGGTACCCATATGTAGGAGACTGTTAAGGCCCGGTATCCATGGTATATTTGGGTCATTCAAAAATTTTTTTTAAAAAAATGTTTTATATAGTTGGGAACTTGAATGTCCCTCAAAGGCACCAGTAGTATAGGCTTGGGAGGGTGGCGCTAGTAGAAGCTGCAGAACCTTGTGGGAGGGAGGTCACTGGGTCATGAGAGCCAGCCCTGAAGGGGTTTGTGGGACCCTGGCCCTTCCTCTATCTCCCTATTGCTCCCTGTTCATGACATAAATAGTTCTGCTCTACTGCATGCTTCTGCCATGACATACAGACCCAGGCTCCACCACAGGACAACTCATCCCAGAACCAAAATAAACCTTTTCTCGTGAGAAGTGAATTCTCTCAGGAAACACACCAGACATGAGAATGGTATGGACAGATCTCCAGGATACACTGTTAGGTAAAATAAGCTGCAGAACAGTATGTCTAGAACGCTGTCTGAGCTGGGAGATAGTGAAGGAAGAGTACAATCCTGCCTCTACTTGCAGAAAGAAACCCTGGAAGAATACACAATTCCTTGAATCATTTATTTATTTTTTTAGTGACAAAGTTTATTTGAGAAAATAGAAATGAAGAGTAGGAGAGAAACAAGCTTGGGTTAAGTAGACAGAAAAAGAGGGAGGGAGCAAAGATAAAAGTACACGCTGCATCTGGGAAACAGTGTGGACTATTGGAGAAAGTTATGAGAGCCAAGTCTTTCATTTTCTTTAAATATCTTTTGGTCCTATTTTTGTAAGTTATTACATCTCTCAGATCAACAGAAAAAGAAGCTTTGGTAGCAGCACTGATTTCTGCAGATTTGAAATGACCATTTTTCTTGCAGGTGGCCCAGAGCTGAGTTTCTCACTAGTGACCTCTGTAAGCAGACAGTGGAATGGAAACATAAACACCGAGGTCCAGAAGTCAAAGGAAAGGCCGAACTCCCACACAACTTCCAAGTACTGTTCCCACTCTCTTAAGCCAGTGAGCTGAAGCCAATGTTTCCTTTCCTTCTACGCTGCAACTCTGAGATTTCTAAGTCCACATTCGGTACAAGAGTAACCACCACCTCTTTCTTCTCCAATATTAACACTTCTATCATTTATTTACTGCCATTTTTTCAAGTAAAACTTGTGTTTGATGAAAAGAGGTGGCTACTTCAGCTTACAATTCAATCACTCAAGTGTCAATAGTGTCCCTTTTCCTTCACAAAACACTATGAGATAACAGCCCCACCTCCTTTTTTGAGGAGCTAGGGATCCACCCCAGGGCCACAGTGCTTCCTCCCCAGGCCCTCCCTCAGACTTATTCAGGCAAAACAAAATCCTGGGTTGGGTTAAGTGACT